CTGTTTTTCCTGCTGGATTGCTTGCAATTTAGTAAATTACTAGGAATCCTGAATGCTGAGTGGTGCAATGATAGTAATTTACTAAATTGCAAGCAATCCAGCAGGAAAAATAGCATCGTCTGCAGCGGGCTTTAGTGTACCATGATTTATCCCCTCCCGACTTCTGTTTAGCAATAGTTTGTCTACCGTAGCGCCGCCGGTGTACATATTTTGAACTACCACAGAAACCGGGTTTTGGTCTCATTCTCGAAAGCATTAGTTGAGCCTCCTTATCTCTATTCTTCATGGTCACGGTCAAGACTGATCACCTTACCGTGTACCTATAAAGATCTCAAATAAAGTTCTCATATCTCCAATACCGTGAGTGAGTTATTCCCGCCTTCGCTATCAGCTATCGGCAAGGAAGTAATTGTGGGCACTTCAGCCGGGCTGTAAATATCTAAACCTAGAGCCCCACAACTGGACCGTGACAACGGTGACAACTGACAACCATTTTTACGTTTTGCATGTACTGCGAATTTTCGCTGTTTATTCCTCACAATCCTGGCATTCCCGTTCTAGTTCCGTGGTCCATACCTGTTTCGCAACATTCCAGAGCTCATTCAGGATTTATCCTTTCCACGTATCGTTCGTATAGTGCACACAATTACAATGAATACGAAGGAGAAGGAAAAGTACATCGAGGAGTTTGATTTCCCGTATTGCGACGAGTCCTCCAAGTGTGAGAAAGTCGCGAAAATCGGACAGGGTACTTTTGGGTAAGTAAAAATCTTTCGTTTACACGTCCTATTTAAGACGTACGACACACGTTTCGTCAAATGATTTTACACCGACAATGACTGATACGAGCGAATGTGACACTAGCTCCTTTCCTTTTATACTCAAGTGATACTGACAATGAGTCACTCACTCAGTTATGCAAGTATATACTCATATATGATGTCATTAATGTGAGTTTATTAACCTCACTGAAGCACACGGTTTTGATCGTGTGTAAAACTCAGTTAAATCTGGTTAAATCTCACTTCTCAAGAATCGAAAGGAACATGTATTCAACTGAGTTATGACGTCACAAGTGAGATTTATCTGAGTTTTCTTTCTGAGTGTTACATCTGAGAGATGTAAAAAGAAAGCAACTATTAGCGTCGCGAGTTTTTTTTAAAATAAATACATGCTCGACACAAATGCTTGGCTGCTTTCCTTTTAGGGAACAAATCGAAACACTCGAGCAGTTTGCTGTAGTTAAGTAACAAAAATTCAACGACCAAGATTCTATCGAAATACGGCGAACGAATTTGATACAAAAATACACTCCGACTCTCCTCCCGAGCGGAGTCAAAGAATATCAATCGAGCTTGAATCAGACTCAGAAGTGGAAAGCGATGTGTGTCGATTTATGTCATAAGCGTTGGTTGTGTCCTAAAGGCCCGGTCTACAATGAGTTGTTAGTCGTTAGTCGAAAGTCAGAACTATATGTCGATCCTTTTTCTTCCACCCAGAAAGGAAAAGGATCAACATATAGTTCCGACTTCTGACTAACGACTAACAACTCATTGACCTAGTTTACATCGTGCACTTGATACGCGTATCAAATAGTAACAAATAGTAAATAACTAGTAAATTCGTTTGGTCATTGGCTGATCAGTTCAAATACACTATTTGATACGCGTATCAAGTGCACGATGTAAACTAGGCCATTGTAGACCAGGCCAAAGGGAAAGCAGCCTTTGTTCAAAAATGTTCAAAGTGTATAAATAAAACCTGAACGCGGCTCCGGCGCACAATGCTGAGGTTAAGAGTATCCCCAGCGTTTGTAATTCGAGTGCGTTCGTCCTCCCGAATTTTATTTACAAGTAATTTACGGTAATTACAAGTAATTACGACTGCTAAGGCTCGTATAGAATACATAGTAGAGTAAGCATGGTGTAAGCAGCGAGAATAAGTGGAACAGAACCATAATCTATATCTCTTGATTTTTTTGATTCTCCCTTTAGGGAAACGCCGTCGACCTGCGGGCCTTAGCGTAAATATAGCATACTCTTAACTGTTCCCGTTTCACTATCTTCCCTGTATTCTTATCTTCTCTTTGCAAAAAATATATTAAGCAAAGGCTCTGTATAAGACCAATAATGTTAATTATGGCAAGGGCGATAGAAGCCTTTGGCAAATTTTTTACGACATTTAAAAAGATGTTTGTACTTGGATGGAAAAGAACAAGAACACACCACTTGGTTCTATTGAATATCGACAGATTTAATTATCGTCAGACGTTTCGGTTACTAAAGGTAAAATTCATTGTTAGATTATTGTGTAATCGTTGCGAAAAAACGATTTGTGATTGAATTTAGGTGTTGAAAAACTAACTAACAACTCATTGTAGACTTGGTCTAAGACCCCGAGCAGAATGGCTGTCTTGTGCTCTTAAGACACAAGACATTATCGTGCGTTACTTTTAAGACAAAGACTTAAAAGTACAAGACAGCTCAGGCCCTAACGCAGCAACCTCATGATTAATAGGCACCGTCATTGCACTTAATTTTCTAACCATTATTTTTCTTTTACAGAGAAGTATTTAAGGCCAAGTACAAGAAAACGAACAAGAAGTTTGTCGCAATGAAGAAGGTACTAATGGACAATGAGAAAGAAGGAGTAAGTTTGTTTCGTATAATTATTTGATTTCAAGATTGCTCAAGAGATTACCTTAGTGTGCTGTGCGATAAATTCCCTATTGAGCGACATCCTGTTTACTCAATATCTTCTAAATTTTATAATTTGTTTTATACCGTCAAAATCTTATTGCAGTTTCCTATTACGGCGTTGCGGGAGATAAAGATATTGCAATTGCTGAAACACGAAAATGTAGTCAACCTCATAGAAATTTGTAGAACACGACGTAAGTATATACTTTACTTTTCATCTACCAAACTTTGACTTTTATAACAATCTTTTCTAAGTAAATCATAAATGTGAAGACTTATTGTTTTACTTGAACAGAATAGTCAACGAGATACGCAAAACTTGATATTATTCGAGAGTCTGTTGGAATAATTTTTAACAATTAGCGGTAAATACTAATTGAAACAGTTGGTACTGGCGTATAATATAATAAAGTTTAATTAATTTCATAAAATTTTCAGCAACTCAGTATAATCGGTACAGGTCTACTTTCTACTTGGTGCTTGACTTCTGCGAACACGACTTGGCTGGCTTGTTGTCAAATGTAAACGTGAAATTCAGTTTAGGCGAGATAAAAAAGGTTATGCAACAGTTACTAAATGGTCTTTATTACATACATAGCAATAAGGTAAGAAATTAGTACAAATTTTACGCTCTTTTAAAGTAGAGTTCTAGAAAATTATGCCCGCTTATCTGTTGACTTTATGACTGTAAGGTGGGTTGGATTCGGAAAAGAATAGAGCTGCGGTTCGTTTTCTTTTTTCTGTAAACAAAGATGCAATAAGTACAAGCGCGAAGACACCAAGTTTCATTCTATTACGTCTTTTTTGCTACTTTAACCATTGTAAGAAGACACAAAAAGAAATGGCTTGTATCCTACCTTGCCAGATATAAAAGTTCCAATAGAATAATCCAACAATAGACACTATTGCTGAATTTAGCTTCTGAGAGAATCATTCCCAAATGAAACCTCAGTGTCCTTCGTAATAACATGGCAGTTATTCTTTTCTAAATGTAATCATCTACACTTTTTCCTTGAGACTGAATGCTCGAAACTGTTGAGTTTTGTTAGTACCGAGAGGAAATAAGAACACACCCAATACATTTGTATATTCTCTCATAACGTTTTCTTTATCGTATTAATTTAGAACAGAGCTAACTATTTATTTATTACTACTATATTAACATTGATGATGTTATAATTATTGTAGTTCGGATCGGTTCTACCAACGTTGCTTAACTTTAAGCTTAGCTTAATTCGTTCTTTGTTTCTTTCCAACTGTTACTCTAGAAAGAGACAAACGTGAATTAAACTAAGATTAAAGTTAAGCGACGTTTAGTGAAACTGGGCCTTAATGTAACATTTGTTTTCTTACAGATCTTACATAGGGATATGAAAGCAGCTAACATTTTAATAACAAAGAATGGCGTAGTAAAATTAACTGACTTCGGTTTGGCACGAGCGTTCAGTGCAAAAAACGGTCACTCGAATCGTTACACTAATAGAGTTGTTACTCTTTGGTACCGACCACCAGAACTGCTGCTTGGCGACAGAAATTACGGACCACCTATAGATTTGTGGGGCGCCGGATGTATAATGGCGGAAATGTGGACAAGGTCTGTATCGACTGATCTCTTTCGCAAGGTCGTATGTCGATTTTACGCTGTTCCGGAATGAACGTTTAAGAACAAAAGTAAAAAATTGCGTAAAATCGAGATACAACCTTGCGATCAGTCGATATAGCATTCCGTGATTACACTATTGCACGCAATTCTCCGACGCGCAGTCGTGTGATTATGTTCAAGCTCGACCTTGTGTCCACAGGTCTCCCATAATGCAGGGAAATACTGAACAACAACAGCTCATATTGATCTCGCAACTGTGTGGCTCGATAACAACGGAGGTGTGGCCTGGTGTTGAAAATCTAGATTTATTTACCAAAATGGATCTCCCGAAGGGGCAGAAGAGAAAAGTAAGGAGTTTGTTTGCGAGAGTCGTTATAGTAGATTTTATATCGCGTCTTAGTTTTTGTATCGAGTGAATTTATATTGTGATTGTGCACAGGTGAAAGACCGGCTCAAGCCATTTCTGAAAGACCCTTACGCCTGTGACTTGTTGGACAAGTTTCTGATACTCGATCCTAGCAAGAGATGCGACTCCGACTCCGCGCTGAACCACAACTTCTTCTGGACCGACCCGATGCCGTGCGATCTCAGCAAGATGCTGGCGCAGCATACTCAGAGTATGTTCGAATACCTGGCACCGCCGAGGCGTCCTGGTCACATGCGTCATCCGCATCATCCAGTGCCTGGAGGACCAGCCAAGCCTAGTTCTAGCATGGCCGAGAGTGGCTATCAGGATCGCGTCTTTTAATATATTTCAATATATATATATTTTTTTTATATATGTCTAGTGTAAGTTTTGTATATAAATGTATTGTATGTTCTATGTAATTCCATCCTGACGTTACCAATTTTTTAAACACAGTTCTAATTTAGAGATTAAACCTATTTTATTTAAAAAAAATTGTCCGCGTTATCATTTCCCACGTTAAAACTGCAATGAAGCAAAAACGTGCATTGAACGACTGCAAAGTAATTATTAACATTTAATTTAAGTAAGATTTCTCCTTTACGACTTAGCGTATCATGTTACGTCAAATTTTCACCCTTCGTTCCTCAGTTCACGTACAAGGATCGTGTTATAATGAAATGAACGATAAGAGCGCGCGCAATGTGAAGTGGAAGCAGAAAAGAAAGTAACGAGGTAAGATTCATAAGTGAGGTTAGGTGGTTAGGTGATACAATTGGGAGGCTCGAGCGCCTCGAAATTCATATGCTCGTTTGTAATCTGGTAAGCATGTCTTTAATCGACAAGGGAAGAAGGTTCTCGGAGACCGCATTGTACCTAGAATTCGGGCGATAACAATCTATAAGTCACGAACGTCACGTGGTGCTTAATTACAAACGTTACCGAGACTCGAATAGATAACCGTGTTTGAAATTCTGTTCAAATGTTTTCGTCAACGGGGGGTAAATTCTGTATCTTACACTATAGTGAAAATGCTAAAACTGAACGGTTTTGTCTCTTCCTGACCGTCCCATTAGCTTCACTTTTAGCATTTTCGCTGTAATGCAAGATACAAAATTGACCACCGGATCTCAGAGAGATCATGAGTCTTTTCCTCCCACGTGAACTCATGAAAAGTGAAAATTTTCAGTGACGAATTCAACATTGGTTAATAAAATGTTTTACTTCCCACAAGTTCACGATCGAGCCGCCGAAGTGACATACGCGTGATTTAGAACGTCGAAAAGTGCCAGCTGACGGGAACTAGACCAGAAATTGACAGGGTTGGGTAAGTTGACTGTTTTTTAAATTAAGTTAAAGTTAAGGGGATCCTTCAGCCATCTTTTTTACCGACACAGTCAAATATAGTTTTTGCGCTTGTAATTCTTTTTATTAGCTTTTATGCCCAAAATAATACCAGGATAAGTTGCAGACCGCATAGCAGAACATTTTCATACTTGAATTAACACTCAGTTCAGAAGTCTAATAAAAGATATTGGTATTTGAAAGTTTCAATTCGTAGTTCTAATTAAATTTGAAATATAGCTTTATAAAATTGCAAGATTCTTCCACACGATTAAAGTACGCATAAAGACAAAACCAGAAACAGTCGACTTTATATATACATATGATCGCCGCTATCACTCGCTCGCCGAACGTCGAGCCGGCAAGCAGTGGCGAGAGTCGCTCCGTGTGTGTTATTACTTTTGTGTTATTAGTTTCCAAGACTCGATCGCGATGAATATAAGGATAAAACGATATATTGATTTGTACACATCAGTAACAAGTAACGTATCTCGATTAATTATTAAGTTTCTACAACTTGTAATGAGAAACGAATTGCGCGTTGAGGCGACGGCTTTTTATTAACGTGTACATGGATATTTTATGAGACTAACTCATCTAAAATATGAAAGTAAACCGTGGTACGTTGTCGCGATTACATCTCGTTTACCGCGCTTTTAACTATCTATCGATTTCGTGTAATCTGTTCCAATTTCGGGAAGAGAGAGATATTTGTGCGACTTCGGCGTTCGCGCTGTAATTCGCTCTGTCGTTCTTCGCAACTCGAACGGGCAGGAAGTAAAGAACGTCGCTTACTGCATTTCACGGTATTTTACATCGCGTACGGGAGTGTCCGAAATTTCGCGCGATCGATTTTCGCGAGT